GCTTACCTTCACTATGCTAAAGGTATCAGTGGTGACATTAATACCAGCTGGTATTACCAATGGCATTTACCTTTACTCACGCTTGCATTTAATAGCATAAACAATCTCCTTACACAGTCTAGAGGACTACTTATGCTAAGAAATAAATTTTGGCGTTAAATTTCTAGTCTGTCTACATATATTCTGGGTAAATAAGGTGTACAATTGCTCTGGATCAATTGGCTACTAATTTGCCCTCATTTTTCAAGAGCAGGGATTAGAGATATATAGAGGTTACAGCTAAATTTGAGTGGCAGTAAGCACTTGAAAGAAAATAACTTATTTTTCAGAAAAATATTTTCATGAGATGAAACACAACAGAAAAAAGATGAGAGATGAAGAGGACACCTCCGGCCATAATACAAGTAACATACAAACTACAAACACCCAAGAATTATATGAACACTTTAACTTTTATTTTACACTTTACTATTTCAGGAATTTCCCATAATTCTTAATATAGTTGCATGTCTTAAAAATCCCAGAGCACCTACAGAATGAAACTAGGGCAAGGAAGTGACTTCCACCTTTGTGTAGAAGTCCCAAGTATAAGAAGTCTCAGTGTAAGACCAAGCCAGACTATGATTTGATGCTACTGTTTTATCAACTACGAATGTGATAGAAACACCCAGCATGGGCAGCTTTTGCCAGCCCTTAGTGCTTATCAGCCAATGGCCCAGAGGTCACACAGAGCATATAGCTCACCACGATTCTCCAGCTGAGGAACACAGGATTCGTGTTTTCACCCAGTGTCCACACACCCCACTGTAACGACATCAGTTAGAGCAGCTACCATTTTTTCACAACTCTTGCCCTCAGAGACTGCCTCACGAGCTTCATAGATACCATCACCAGATAAATCAGCAGAGTCCTTCAGAACTGAGGCTCTTCAGGGTGCAGGATGAAGGCAGACACACACCTCACAGGTGCATCTAAGGAGTGACTTACCTTGCAGTCATATAGGCCAGGAGATAGCACAGAACCATCACAGTGTGACTGGATAACTGGAGCGAGCGTGCCCTTTTGTTGCACGCCTGAGGTGGAACGTGGGTGCAATCACCTCAACGCACATTGGCAACACAAAGGACAGAACAGACGTTAACATGCTCAGCGCTCCTCAGGTTGTGTAACTAACTTTGCCCCATCTCCAACTGGGAAGGGCGGCTTTTCAGTCACCTGCCTGCCACTTTGTGTCAAGTGTTCTGTAACCAGATGTTGAGCAGTAGACTTCACTCCTTGAAGATCCTGCCGCTGAGTGTGGGGTTTACCTGAGTGCTTGAAACTCAGAGATTACTGCAGAACATCCTTACGTGTGTGTAGTTTTGGAGTCACTAATCCCCACTATCACCACATACCCATATGAGCATCTATACGTACATCTGTATGTACATGCACACACAGACACAGAAGCATTCCCAGCCCTTGGGAACACTATCCTCAGCCACACTACTGATTTACCTGAAGAGAAACAATGCTTCTGTTCCAGATAAACACATACCATGGAGGGAAGTCATACGCACAAAGATACCAAACCGAACTTGGTGTAGGTGTAACCAAAGTAAAACACTACTACTTCAAATGCTTTATTTCTAACACCTCCATTTGTTTTGATGTTGTTACTGCCATCCCACCTTTGCACTGTGTAGCTACAGTTTCCATTTTAAAACTTTCTACTGAAAAGCATTTTGCTCTCTCCCATGGTAATGAAACAAAGCAGGTCTGAATAGAGCGGTTACACTCACCCGTACAGCGAAGTAGCAAACCCATAGTGTCTGCACAGGCCTTCAGTAACGGTATGTCTGTGCAAGCACATGCCTTCTATTTTAACATTTTAAAAATTATGCTAAAACATTTTGCATCCCCAGAACTGTGCTTGCCACACCTATGAGAAAGAAACAGGAATGGTCACTGGGCTGTAAAGTACTATAATCTAAAAGTCTAGGGCATTTTTCTTCAATCAGAGTTTAAACGGAAGTAGTGTCTGTTCTATGCAAATGTTAAAGGCTTCACTTTTTTGTAATATTAAAGATTTGGGTACTTCATTAAAATTTTGAATCTCACACTGTGTACAGGTGTGCACTGCAGACAACATGGGAATATAGCTCCAAGTTTATCTAACCACCACAAAAAGGAAGCAACAATTAGTATATTAACAACTGCTTTTGAACAGAATACAAGAACTACCTATACCAGCTTCTCAAATTCACAGAAAGAAGGATAATAAGAAAATGAAGTGCATTTGAAGAAATTAATGTACCTAAGGAGTTCAAACTGTAATTATATAATATGCAATTATCACAAAAAAGTACTTACAGGTAAAACACACTTCTAATGCTAAACCTTTATTCTAGTGACTACAGAGGTACTTGCGGTAGTGTTTGTCTAAAGTGTCTGACATTTCTCAGAATCCCTGCCACGTATTTTGAAAATACTCATTATTCTCTTCTCTGGAAGGAAGTCAGAGAGACAGACAAACATTCTAATAACTAGCCTTCCATATTTTTTTCAGATAGTAATATAATCCCTTTCAAATTTTTGTAAAAACTGTGGGTTTTTTTTTTTTAAAGCTTGAAAGATAACATGCATAAAAAACTTATACAACACGCTGAATAAATCTGTTTTAGCAACAGTTAATAGGTTTACTGTGCCTTGTGATGCAACCTGAACACACTACATACAAAGAGGACCCAGCACACACTCATGTGAGCAGTGACCTGTACACCAAATCTGCATCAAGACTAGAAGTACTTTTTACAACCAGCAGCAGTGACTCTCCCATCTCATTCTGCATCACAATGAGCAGTCTTCATATTTTAAACACATGACAAATCTGTGAATTTTTTACCCCTTAAGATTCTAAAGCCAGAGTCCAATGTGTTTAAATCTCCTCTACGCAGTAGAGCCCGGTGGTTGACGTAACATTCTAGTATTGCATCTAATCACATAATATACAAGACGTACACATTGGTTATCTAATGAGTATTTACTGGCATCGACTACCGCTCCCCTTAACTACTGCAATAATCTTTATGTATATAAATAACCATGCACAAGAGATGCCTACTGACAGATCCTTGCAATGTGCTAGCAGGAAAACGCAAGTTCTTCTTACACTTGACTAGTACTGAACCAAATGCTAAACCAAAAAACAAACAGAAAAACAGACACAAACTTGTTCCTAAAATAGACTGCCTTCATCACATCAGAGCAATCCTTCTATCATTAAAGCATCACTCAAAATGAAGGACAAAGTAATTGCTTCAACATTCTACTTTAAAACTACATTTCTAAAACACTATACATTGGTAAATTACAGGCAAAATATATCTAGACATAAAGAACAACTCCTTTTTAAAAAGTTAATTTTGCTCATTTCTGCAACTGCTTTCTATGTAATTTTCTTGATGTGCACCCCAGATCAGAAGAAACTATAAAGCAAGCCAGAAGTGACCAGGAAGATGGAGAGACCAAAATACAGGCAATTACATCACTAGTGGAACAAGGAATGCCACCTTTAAGGTGACAGCAACTCCCTAAGCAGCTACTTTAATCATTAAGCTTCCATTCACACGCTCTTTAAAGGAAAGTAACTTTGTGTCATTTTCCTCACCCCTTCCTGCACACTGAGAAGCTTTACCAACTCCTCACAGAAAACATCCTAGAAAGGACAAGTGTGCAACAACTGACAGCACTTTGACCACAACACTCACTGAACAGGTCTGAGAATATCAAGTGGGCAAGAGACAAAAATGCAAGCAAGTAATTTATGCAAAAATTAATGAGAGTATTTTCTGCTGGGTTAGATCTCTTATATGACCTTAAGGCACTTACATTTATTAATAAAGCTTTGCAATTACTGTAATTCTATGCTCATGCCTTGCATTGATTTACAGATACGGAAATTCTGAAAGAGATTGGTTCTGGTAAAGACCTGAAGTATTAAAAAAGTCTTCCCAATTCTCACTTGTGCCATTCACTCTGCCTCTAAGTAAGCTAGTCAGACAGGCTGGTTACTCTGGGGTGGGCAGGTGGAATCAAATAAATTACCTGAGTCAATCAGAAACCTACTGGCTGGTTTTTTGTCACTGTTGCTGCTTTGTTGTCTTGGGATTTTTTGAGGTTGTTTTGGGGGTTTTTTGGTTTGTTTTTTTTTAAAAAAAAGAAAAATTAAACTATACATCTACTGCTTTCCTATTAGCTGAAATACCTTTTGTCACTGTTGCTGCTTTGTTGTCTTGGGGTTTTTTGGGGTTGTTTTGGGGGTTTTTTGTTTTTTTTTTACAAAAAAGAAAAATTAAACTATACATCTACTGTTTTCCTATTAGCTGAAATACACAATACAGCTAGTTTTAGTCTAAAAATAAACTATGTCAGAATAGCCAAAAAATATAATACGTGCTTTCCTAATCCTATTTCTTTGTGATTACATAGGCTTGCTGAGACAATTTCACCAGAAGAAATACTAGGAAAGCAAATGACTTCCCCTCTCCCCACCCCCCCCATTCTCTAATAAAGCAGCAGCACAAGGACTAGGAAGGGAAGCAACCAAATCTCCACAAAACATCAGTAGTAAGTAAGTAATGGAACGCCTTATTTACAATGGAACATTCAGTTATTTATCTTGACGTTATTTAGAACATACCCATAATCAACGATTTTAGAAATTTTTTCTATCCAAATGCAGCTACATCATGCTTATTGGCTACCTAGCAATTAATTTAACCCCAAATCTGGGGTCAGAGACTTGTACTAGTTGCGATAAAGCAGTACCTTTTAAGAAAAAAAACCCCAAAACATCACCTTAGTTTTATTTTTCATATTTACATATAGAAAAGTTTTTGCATTAAAAAAAACTTGACAACCAAATCACCTGTACATATAATACAGCAATTAAAGTTTCCACGAAAAATAGCTTAAATTTGTATGTTTATTTTAAAATCATTACATTAAATAAAGCAGTGTTAAAATCCAACAAATGGGGATGAAGATGAAGAGGAAAATAATGGCCACATAACATTTGTATTCTGCCCTTCCCATATATCTTTTATACTAGTTGAACCTCTGTTCTCAGTGTAACCTGAAAAACCTCCAAATTCTGAGTTTATTTCACTTGTCTGAAATAATTCCAGTAGGGCCTGCACTGGTGAGCTACAAGAACATCTCTTCTCTTCAGGAACAGACAGTCCATCTGCATCCTTTACGCACAACTCCGTATTCTGTTTCCAGGTTTCTCTTTTATTTCTTCCCAAGCAAAGCTTCACTTTTCTATGCAGCTTTCCAGACGGTGAACTATGAGCAGTGGTGGGAGCCAATTCATTAAGTTCTTTGTTTACAGCAGTATCAGATACTTCAGCCTCCAGACCTACATTGTGCTGCATCTGTTGATGATTATCACATAAATCACGATGTTTCTTGACAAACGTAGGATTGGCATCTGTTTTTTTCAAACACTTTGCTGGTAGAACTACTGCATTATTTAATTTTCGTTTTGGCTGCGATAGGCTTTTGTCTTTTTCACCAAAATCTGTGACTTGAATATGAGAATATAAAGTACACATGCCTTCCTGAAAACACTGTAAATTCTTTTTATTTACTTCTGGTTCCAGTATTTCCTTACTGAATGGCTCATAAGCTAGAAACAAGTTCTCTGTATATGCTTTGTCATCTTTCTGAGGGGGTGGTTGTATGAAATTTGATGATACAAAAGTCTCTCTTAAGTTTGCAGCACAGGAGCAATCAGTATTAATATTTTCATCATTATTTCTGAACTTACTTTTTAGTTCTGAAGGTTGTGACAGGTGACGATAAAGAATTGAACAGCCAGATCCAGAAACAGGGACAGGTATTAGCACAGAATTTGGCTGGCGATCCAGTTTGAGTGCCCGCATTGCGGTATCCTTCCACGAGTAACTTTTCAATGAAATGCGTTGCTTTTTAAGTCGTTCTTTCAGCTCATCTGGTCTAGTTACCTTTCCAATAATAGGAGAAAAATATCCTGTACTACATTTTGTCCTACAATGAAATTGTTTAAAATTATTAACAAGCACTTGGAAGAGACATGAGTAACATAACTACATATGCAACTGATTCTAGAAAAGCAACCAAACGGACAAAGCAATTTTTGTTTTTACACTTACAGGAAAGATATATTTAGGGCAGCAACACACCATTTCTACAGGAACAGAGTGCCTTATATTTTAACTTGATGTTTTCTTACTGATTTCTACATCTTGTAAAATTGTTTTAAAAATACATGAAGTAAGCAGTCTAGAATTTCAGTAAATCTCAATTCACAGTGGTATTAAGAACAAAAGAAGTTAACGAATATAATATAGGGACTATAAATACTTACATATACACTTAAGTGTATACTTATGTGTATGTATTCTATGATATATATATACACACAAAATTAGCATAATTATATGTTTTTCTTTATATAGTATTTCAAACCTAACCACTCAATATTTTTAAAATCACAAAAGGAATAAAGGCTTGCCTTCATTAGGCTATCTGTTGTTTGACTATTTGCATTTCCTTTGATTTCACTAAGAATATTCCTTTTTTATTATCAATTTATTTATTTATTTTAAAGAATGAGAAAGTTATTCTTTATCTCCTGACTCATTTGCAAACAAATCAGAGCAATCTTGAATCAGAGCAATCTAGATCTTCCTGTCTTCCTAATCTTGATCTTCCTGTCTAGGAAGACTTCCGCAGGCTGGCGATCCAGTTTGAGTGCCCGCATTGCGGTATCCTTCCACGAGTAACTTCCACGAGTAACTAGACAGGAAGATCAAGATTAGACTAGGAAAAGTTTTTCCACTGGTAAGGAAATCAGATTGACGGCACAGTATATAATTTGCTGTTCTTAGGCTACTAAAGTTGTCAGAAATTTATTAGAGCAAGATGTCCATACATTGCTGTCCTTCTATCAGCAACATTTTAGTACATTAGATCCTGCTTTTCTGAAGCTGAAGGACACCTTTTGGCAATTCCTTTCAGTCTCATGTTCCTGTGATGCCATTTCGCTTTTAATGTTTGAGGGTTTTCCCCCCAATTTCTGCTTTATAGAAGTGATTTGCCAGGTACAACTGCATTGCAGATTTGGTGATTTACTTCAGATTGAAAAATACGAATTCATTCTGTACCAGATCCAGAGCTTTAAAACTAAGTATCTTTATGTTCAATATCTTAACTCAGAGGGTATTTAAAATTTAGAACGTGCCACTTACCTTTGTATTTTTTTTGCATCATCTTTGTATTCGACAAACTCATAAACAAGCTTTGAGATTATATCATCAACAACGTGATACTGTATGCTTTGTGCAAAATTTCGGTGCTGTTCACTTTCAAGATGCTGCAATTAAAGAAAAAACACAAAACAAATCTAATACTACAGATATTAACATACAAGGCAACAGTATGATATGTAGCAGTAAGTAAGTATTAATTTATGTTTGTGTTTGAAACAAATTATTAGTGCCTTCAGCTATCATACATAGGTTTTAATTCTTGGTTGCTGCCTCTATAAGGGAAAAAAATACCACTTGGTGCTTTTTAGGAGATATATTAATAAAAATCTTTAAAGATAAAAATACATTAAACTAGCGAGTAGAAATCATTGTTGATATTACACTTAAAGAGATATGACTATGAAAGTATATACTTGACATTTCACGTACTGTTTGCAGATCTTCATATTTCTTCCCGCAACATTCACAATATCCTCTCTTTTTTTTGTCCTTCTGAGGGAGCTGAACAGGAGTTCCACAGTCCTTGTCACTATTTATTTTGTTTCTGTTAACCGAAAAGATATTAATGAGTCTCAAATATGGAGCTGAGCTCTATACTTGCCTTTCACAGTATATTCATCTTTATCCACTTAACTGGAAAAAAACCCAACCCCTTTATTTCCCCTCAAACTATGTACATTATGTTAGTCAATACTTAGGAATAACAAAGAGAAAAAATATACATTAACTAAAAAGAAAATAAATGAATTTACTGCAAGAAGACAGGCAGACCCACTGGAACTATATGGAAGGGCAGAACATCCAGGTTAGTACAGATGTACTATCACTGACTCAGAGTAAACAATGCAAAATTCCTAAACAATTCTCAACATATCAAAGGACATATTGAAATCTCTGTGCACAGCTGATAAAAGGAGGTTTGATAAAATCAAAACTAGAAAAAAAATCTTCTAACTTCTCATCAACTGTAAGTATTGTTGATGCCAAGAAAATATGCAGCAAAAACACTTGGTCTAACAGATGAGCTCTCTTTTTTTTGTGAAAATAAAGAACATGTGTTGGTTATATGTAGCTTCTGAATATGCTGACCAAATGCCATTTTGTCCTGTTTTTCTAGGTACAGGCTAAATGGAAATACGAGGAAATGAGCCCCAAGTTCTTAATGAAGATTAAAACATGAAGAGGTGTTTAATAGCTGCTCCATGACCTTCAAAGTCCCCATCTGGGGAGAGCTACTGTTTGCTGCAATTCACTATTGAACCACTTAAGGATGATATGCTAGCAGTAAAGCAAAACCATCAGTCTCTACTTCTCTTTACTTCAGATGAATAATGCCATCTCCCTGTCTAGACAAAAATCACTCCGACAGTCTTTGACAGCTATCTGTACAGATGTAAGCTCAGGACTTCACATAAAAAAAAAACCTGTCCTGAGAAATCTCTAAATTACAAAGCATAGCAATGTATTGCTCAGCATAAGCATACACTGCTTTCAGCAATTGCTTTCAGTTCACAAGCCTAAATTGGTGACACCTGCCCCAGCATTTGTTGGGTTCCACAGGACAGGCTCCACCTAAGAGGGTACTTTTACTATGATGCTAGCCTTTTCACCTTCCCTCTTCAGAACTGTAAAAATCACAGAGAACCAGTAAAGCAGATATAAGCAACAGCATTTACCATCTGAAGATTGAATAAGAACTGCAGGTCTTGCCTGATGCAGAAGCAAGGAGAATTGACAATTTAGCTTCAACAAGCTTTTCTCAAAGATAAAGATAGAGAAGCAAGCGCTCCCCTTTCTCTCTCCCGAAACTGACATTCCTCCCGTTTACCTGCTGAGGATGAAATAATCTCCCACCTAAATATCTCTTTGGCATGTGCCAACCTAAGAGATTAAATAGGAATATTCATTCAAACATAACTGCTGAAATTTTTAACATATCATATTCTTTAATCTATATAAATGAAAATAATAATTGCCTTTTTTCTTTTTTTGTACTTTAAGTAGTTTCATGTCAAAAAATTGATTTACTAAAGTCCTAACTGCACCTGGAGTGCTCAAATAGAGCCTAAATGCCAAAATGTTATCACATAAACACTCGCTGTAAGACCAACTAAAATTCTACTGGGCAGTTTGCATCTTCTCTGAATAGCTGAAGCAGTATTTGCAGAGTCTAATTTATATAAATTAGACTTTATCAACAGTGTGCACTCTACCAACAATGATTTTGCCCTATGACTGAATATCACGATTTTAAAAATTTTTAACTGCCTACTTTAGCATTATACTGACAAAAACCTGAGGTCGCCTTAAGAAATCCACTTCCTGTAAAATACTTACTGGGTGGCATCCAAGATGAGGACAAAGAAGAAAGCAGTGGCAGAAAGGAAAAAAATATCTTATGCTGACCCACAGTGATAGCAGAAGGCCACATTTTTGGATGTATGCATCTGTATGTCCAAAAAAAGGACTAAAGACAGAATAAAGAGGGTACAGAAAGATAGACAAGACACCAACAGTTACAGTGCAGCAAATACATCAGCTGAGACATGGCTGTTAGTATTAAATATTACAGAAAATTAGAAGCAGAAAAATTATTTTAGAGAATAATTACTTTAGAATTATTTTAGAAAACTGCCCTTTCCGCTGTCCACACCTCAATAACAAGTTTTCAACAAACCTGTGCTTAGACTGAGTTTGCTTTTGACCAGAAGGATGCTTCTTATCCACCTCAAATGGACTATACGGTTTTGGAACACAGTAGTTTAGAACTGGAAAACTGGGTAACTGCAGATAAAATGGTCGGTAGTGGCTGTATTAGACAAAACAAGTGCAGTAGAACCATCAGAAATGGAAAAAGGAGTTTATAGCACAAATTACAATTCGGTCAAAAATCCTGAGAAAGTGTTTCTCTTTCACAAGTAATGCTAAGAATGCTAAGCGTTATATGTAAATGCTAAGCAGATAAATATCCTAGAATAAGTAATTCCTTCCTCCCTACAAACTTGGTACTTTCTCAAAATAGATTTGCCTTGAGTTTCCATAGCTGTCTTAACACGTTCCCTGGGGTATCACTTTCATGCCTAATTACTGTTGAGAGCTGGGTAACCAGTAAAACTAAGAACAATTCGGGTGATAGTGCATCTGTGTTCCTGAGAAGTAGCTATAGCAGTTCCTAACATTCAAGGCATTTTTTTTTTTTCTCCATTTTAGCATTTTCTTCCTTTTGGACAATTTAAATGAATTCACCATTCAAAATATAAAACCCGACTTTTTCATTTTCCAGAAAGATAATTTTCCTGTACAGCATTGTACTCAGAAAGACATTAGAACTAGCAACTGTACCACTGCTCTGAATATATTAAAAACATATAAAATAAGGCATGCCAGAAGTTCACATACTGAATCATTTGAAATGTTGATGCCAGAGTTCAGTCTGGCTTTTTTTCCCCAAATTACTATTATAAGTTACTCAGGCAGAAGAAAAAGAGCAAGTCTGTAAAATATAATAGGGATAGTTAAGCATCTTGTTCTGATTCTGACTGTTACTTATGTTGCATAAACATTTAAACATAAAAAAAAAAATCATTATTCATGTTACATAAACTTTTGAAAGTGTTTCAGGTGTTTGGTACACAGGTACGTTCAGAAATCGAACTCACACATTTATAAACAAATTTCTTCTATTTACAACTGTGTTTGTCCAATTCTCCCCACTATCATGTCCCTCATACCTATTACAACAACTCACAGTGTAAGACCAGGTTTAGATGTCTCTTTAATTCAGAAAAGTATCAAAGAAATCAGGTCAGAAAATTCGGAGCTTATAAGCATCATCATAAAGCAAATGTTACTTAAGAATATAAAGGTGCAAACCACATTGGGCAGAACTGCACTTTTAAAATAATTCATTGCTCTCAACTTCTGGCAAACTGGTATTTCCTCACACAACGATCTCTGATCAATTACAGGACCAGAAAAATGTGAAAATTTTAAAGGCTCAAAATATCAGATTTCGTGCTACTGTGGATATTGAAATGAGATCAACTGTGCTTTTTCCTCCTTTTACAAAGAAACGATTGAGCAGGAAATTAAACCTAATTTCAAAGGACGATTTGAACTGTAACAACTTCCCTTTCCTTATATCCAAACAGTCTCTGCAGGAGAAGAATGTTATTGAGTTGGGACCACAAGACTGGAATTTATTGTACAAAGTTTTATTGGCCTTCTGGGCTACAGGATTTGGATCTAGGAAAAGATGCAATGGTTCAAAGCCTCCAGGTTTCCTATTCATTCATATGGGCCTTGGCAGAAAGTAACTCAAAGAACCCACTCTCATGGTCTACAAACTGCAGCTACATATTAACTTTCCACTTCTATTGTCTATTGTAAAAATTCCCTACTATCTGCTCAATCTCATTCAGTGCCTAAACACAAAAACTACCCAGAGCATGCAGAGATGAAAATTTTATATCTAAGAGGACAGTACGCCTGGCATCCAAAGTCAGGAAGTTGAAGGAAATTGAAATCTGAAGGCCTCTTCCTCAAGGTATACTAAAGTTTCTGAATACTCAGTTTGAGAACCACATTATTGAATGCATGAAGAGAAAACTTACCAACTTCCATCTTCCACCTTGACAAACGGATTTTTCAGTTTACCTGCTCAAGGGGGAGAAAAGGAAATTGAGAGACATACTTTTCTTCATTACTCCAGTTACTCCAGTAGCTGAATAAATAAGCAGACATTATTTTAGAACTTACTATGTACATGTTTTGACAAACTTTTGATTTCTATGAAGTTTTTCAACATGTTTTTCTTAAACATACAAATTAGAATACAGAAGCACACTTGACCAGATGGGAACTGTAGTACATTTTTAAGTGTACAGAATACAAGGCAGAACAAAAAACTACAAATACTGAAACACTTACTTCTTGACTTTGGAGCAATAACTTGTTTTCCCTATTGAAAAAAAGAGAAAAGGTATAAAATATTATTCTGCATTTTAATAAAGACTTAGCTGTAGCTTATTTCAAGTTACTAAGGTCTCCCTGTGTTAATCATGACTTCATACACAGTCACGATCAATTTTGCAGGAACCTAAGCTCATTAGTACTTCAGAACTATGGTGACTTATTTCCCAAAGGAATATTTCTTTCTCCATCACAAAAAAAGTGTTCTCCTTGAGATGTTTCAATTGATCTTTCCTAAAATCAAAACCAAACAAAAACTCACACAGGTAAAATTTATTCACTTACTCTCTCTCCTCCTCCCAAATACCTTGCCATGGTTAAAAGTTGATTCTTAAATACAGATAACATTTTTACAACACTTTATAAATGCTAATTAACTACAAGCTGTAAAATAACAATTCCTCACATTCAAATGGATTTACACAGGTCGCCTTTTTTTAAGCAATGAAGATTAAAATTAAAAGGAGTCTTTTATCTTCAGAAAAGAGTAAAGTCTGCATTCAAGCGTCAGCTGTTAGCTGCAATTGATTCTGGTAAAGGTACAAACTCATATTTTAAACTACTTGCAAAAAAAACCTCACCCTGCTATCCATGAACAATGATACACTGACAATTTAGCAGAGGATTTAATGTGGCCTCAATAATTAGCCAATATTGCATTCCAAAACAACATAACATACACTAGATGCCATGCTTCCATTTACTTATCGCAGACCCCCGCATAGACTACATAATCGTACAGCTTCATAGCAGCTAAAACAGCTTCAGTGTCTCACTACATCATACGCTAAATCTAGATAAATTCGGATTTTCACATGCCAACTGCATATTATTGGCAAAATAGCTCAAAGATGCTTTATGCTAGTTCTTTAAAAAACTAGGAAGGAAAACATGCAGAGTTGAGCAACTGATGGACTTCCCAGAAACAGTTTCTTCAGGAAATGTTAACTGATTCTTCAAAATGGTCCATCAAAAGGAAAGGGTTTCTAATCACTGTGTCATAGGGAAAATTATCAAGGCAACTTAACCATAATCTACAATGTACTAAAACCAAGCTACAATTTTTTAAATTATTTTTTATTTTTGAGACAGGCAGAATGGCAATTTCAGACAGTTCAGTACTTCTGATTCTTAGATATCCTTTGCAAGGGCAAAGGTCTACGCATTATTTAAACAATGCTAAGATGGAATTTATTTTTTAATAATGCTGAAATGTATAGCTAATACTTTCTATTTTTCAAAGACGGCTTTTAAACCAGTTTGTAAAACATACTGGTCTGTGAAAAACTGAACATGAGCAAGACTTTAGTAGGCAATATTTAGTACACCTGTGTTTTCTCAGTTAATGAAACAAAGGGCATTTTCAGAAATGGCAGAGCACCACTTACCCCATCTCTAAAAGAACTGCCTGCTCTTTTGATTAGGTAGAGCTCCTTTTTCTTTTGTTCAATATAATTCTTAACATCTGCCAAAAAGAGGGAGAACTATACTCAGTTGAGTTTATTTTTGCATGTTTGAAGTAATTTGTCATTTTTAATATTTTGAATTAATAAAAAAATCAATTAATGCTACAAGTGTAAGTTAGGCTTCATCAAACAAAAATATTTACCATCAATATGAAGTATCTTCACTCCCCAACTCAAAGCACTGGATAGTATACTACCAGAGGGGATTAAGTCCTGCAAACAGTAAATTGCATTAATAATTCTAGTAATATATGATAGATTATGTAAAATAATTACAAATCTATTACAACATACAACATGAAAGCTGAGATCAAAGCACAGATGCTTTGCTGCTTGCCAAAAGACTACTGCTCTCCTCAACTCACTTTTCTATCTCTGTGTCACAGCACTTCACCACCAAAATAATATATTTAACCTTTCATAAAGCCAGAACTGTTCTCTATCGTCACTTTTTATAGTAGCTAAGATTTGAAGACAGTGAATTTATACATAAACTTCACAAGCACCTCTCAAATGCTAGCTATATTTGCAATCCTGATAAATTACAATGCTGGTCATAAGACTCCACAGACTTTAAATTCTTCAGAAAGTACCCAGGAAGCATGACCTAACAATTCCACTTAGGACAATCCCTTGACTTTTGCCTGAGCATTCTCTCTCAGACTACTAAGACCACTCTTACTACTGCTTGTTTTCTAGAAGAGGAATACCATAGTTTCTCAGTCACAAATGCACTCATTACTTGGCTTACCTGCTCTTTGATTGCCTTTTCAACTAAGGATTTTCCTCTACTCATACGTACCTGCATTAAAACAGAAACACATTTACAGCCAGTTAGAACTCATTTCAAAAAACCAAAGGTAAAACAATTTACACTGTTGCTAACAAATATGTATTTTAGCTATGATAGTCTCCTTTTATTTACTGTACTGCTACCTTTTATTAATTCACATCTTCCCTATGAGGGTTGATGCAGTCTGAGGGGGGAGAAACAAAAAGACAAGCAAACAAAAATCAGACATCAACAAGTACTCATTTTCAACCAGCGCAGGTCACTGCATGGCTGAAGCAATGTTAGTGCTGGAACAACAAAGATGGTGGGAATAAGTAGCCAGTAGCACACGCCGGAAAATAAGATTTCATCAGCTGGAGTTGTGCTAAATTAAGCTAACAGTCATGAATATAATCATAGCCCTTGTCTTACCCTCATCTTTTCTATCACCAGTGCATCTCCTTTTGTACTGTATGTTGTTTGTTCATAATGAGCATGCCTTTACCTATCCAGGTTATTTGCAAAAGGAGGTGATCTCACCTATGCAATGTAAAGACCAGCCCACAGACTGGCCTGCAGTCACGTTTCTAAAGAAGTACCACGTATAGAGTACAGCCAATTGTTTCCAACTGTATTTTGAAAGGACACAAGACTTGCCCATACAAGAAGCCTCATGTAAACCCACACAAATTCAGATATTAACTCTTGCAATTAATATGATCTTCTAAGAAAGAGCTCAAAAAGCCTTAATATTCATAATGTTTTATTTCAATTATTTTCTTGAACTACTATCAGAGGGCTTCTGTACATATCTGCACTAACAACATCACAGCAGCAAGATATTAACAGGCTGGGTTGCTGAAGAGGCAGGAACCATTGGATGCTGTCGAAAGCCTATCCATATTGATCCGCCTGTCAAACGTAACAATGTCAATGCTTAATTATAAGTCAGGTATACTAAATTAGAACAAGTTTTAGTATAGTCTGTTTATTTGCAAAAAAGGATCCTTTTTTAAATTAGTTTTTGAAAACTTTGCTTAACTAGTTTAAGTTAAGTTTAACAACTTAGCCTGAACTAGTTTAAAAGCATGTTTGACCTGTTAAAATAAATAAATAAACAAATAAAAAAACCCCCTTCATTCACCCAAGGAACTGTTGCCATCAGTTGTAAGAGCATATCCCATGGATTGTACCTGATTTGCAGTAAGAAACTTACTGTATCTGCTATCTTAAATGAACTTCCATCATGTCGATCTTTTCGGTTGCTAGGATGAGGTGAACTATTTCCTCCATTACATGCAGATTCTGGGCTAGGAACAGGAGAAATCTGACCAAGAGTTGATGAAAATTTTGCCTCCTTTTTATTAGACACCAGATAGCTGATATCTTTGCTAAGAAAACTCTCCACTCTCTAAATATAAAGATACAAAGCAAGTAATTATTTCAGGACAAGAAAACAGTATCTCAGTTTTACACTGCATACTTTAAAAAGTAACAAAACTTCCAGAATAGTTAAGTTAAAAACCACTGAATTAACAAGAAGATATTTTCTGAAGATCTGGATTACAATTAATCTGTAGTAGCATTTTACTAGCACAAATTCTAACTTCAAATTCTTAATTTTGTTATCTCTGTCAGAAGAGCTTTGTTTCAATTATTATCATCCTTTGAACTATCTAGCTGTAATAATCTTCTGAACAGAGTAATTCAAACACTGCATTGAGAAATAGAATAATTCAAAGAAAATCAGTTTATAGAATTCTGTGTAACAGAAATCACATAAAAGTGTTCAGCTAAACTTGAATGCATGTGTATGCAAATGTAATTTACAGTTTGCAAGAAGCTATAAACTCACTGAGTTTAGAATCAGAAGAAAAATTAAAATTTCAGGATAGTTACCATGTTTCATACCCACAGTATTCATAACGCTTCTCAAAAACGTAGCAGAATTAAGTAGATTCATAATATCTTCATACCCAGCAAGACAAAATATGTGGTTATCCTACACTTACTCTCCTCCATTTTGCTCCTTCAGTCTTCCATTACCAACTGCTGCATGATTATAAACTATTTGCCTTGTTATTTCTTGCCAGTTTACGTAGCTTAAGATCTTTTCCTCTTCTCCACTAATCAGTATGGAAAGCACAAATCACACAGGCAGCAAGCTTGAAACTGTGCCTTCCCATTCTGCTGTATGTACCTTCTACAGAAATGGGACATAGAGAGGCACTTCTGAGTGTGCTCCAGACAGCAACAGTGAAACATACATGGTAGTTGATCTTGAGGGTGCTGGGCACCTCAGATTTAGGTATATGCTCCTCAGAATAAAACAGAAAAACTTCCTTTTCAGTCTTCGATTTGCAACCTTACCTTTCACATATGAATTCCTAAAATTGTTTTAGAGAGAAAGTCAAAAGATAGTGTGCACTCATTTAATGCTAAATGTAAAGAGATACATTTAACCTGAAACCTTCCTATTGCTATTCTTCCTCTACCATAGTTTCAGACAGCACCTCAATTTACAAGTGTCAGTTTCATAAAACTTCTCAGCGCTCCTCTGAGGTCAAAAGAAGTATTGCCAAAGCAACATTCAGAAAGCTAGTAATTTAAGCAGATCTCTTTTGCTTCTGTGGTTAAAGGGTTTAACTGCCAAGATTCCTCTACACTAATTCAAAATATTCAACTTTAAAGTGGACTAAGCAATTGCATTGCTCGTGTGGTACTATGACACCCTGTACTTGCTTGTATCAAAGTGTTTCTTCCATACAGAAGAGAGAATTAGGAAAGAAAAAAAAAAGTATCAAGATGCTTATAAAATTTATTATTTAAATAAAGAGTATTTAAACATACTCAGTGCAGGAAGTACTTACTGAAGTTACTGACCTTCATTAAGCATATGCAAAACACTTCATGTAATCTCTTTCAGGTTCAGCTGAACAACTTTAGTTGTAACATGTAAATATCTCAATATAGTCAGATGCAGCAAAAAAAAGTCACCTCAATGAAAATTATTAAATTTAGATAAGATTTTAAGCAAATGATTAACTGAAAACAAATCATTATAATAAACACCTTTGTTACAACTAGCAAAGCAACTTCTAGTAAAAAACAAAATAATCTGTTGATAAGCTAATTGTTCATACTAAACATTACAACAGACATGAATAAAATCTCAGCACGTATAAAATACAAATAACATTAAAATGCAGATACAAAGAACATTGAAAAGGCACTTCACATGTGCAGATTTTCTTGTAGTTTGATAAAGTTCTCTGCTCATTAACTTACCCCTCCTAGCTCTTTGAGGTCCTTCCCTATTTTTTCAGAGATCACATTTGATGGAATATCAAGGTAAAACACCTTCCCAGTGAGTGGCTTATATTTAAGTTTCTCTGATTTTCCTGTATCTTTTTTCACACTCTTCAGAGAAGATTTTCTCTTTTCTGTTTTTGCTTGCATTCCATCTGCTGAAAAAAAAAAAGTAACTTAAAACAGGACTGTGTTTTATGAACTGTGTTTATTTTTTTCTTTTCAAGAAGGAAAATTCCTAAATTATGGACAAGGCAAGTTTCCATGCAATATAGGACTTTTAAAAAACAGCTATATATTAAACATGTCAAAACCAACTTTAGTAATAATACCACATATAGCCCTTAAGAACTTATTTTTAAAATTATATCCTAAAAAGGACTTTTTATTTCAGTTGCTACACAATGCCATCAATTTTCTCACCCAGTTTGGCAATTATTTATTATCTCTGTTCTACAGTACATACATTACTTGCACAGTCACTGAGAACCACAAGAACACCATTTTAGAACAGAATCTCTCTCTCTCTCTCTCTTATTCACCTGAAACAAAAAGGATTACATATAGACTCATTAAAACAAAAAATTACCATAAGCAACTGAAACACCAAAAACCATAAGACTTAGACCCTACTATTTATCTAAATTTTGAGCACCCACCTGAGAGGCAGGAAAATTAAGCTTAAAGTTCAAAACCATTCTAGTTATGATCACTCTTTCTGTCCCAGTGAATTTTACTCAAAAACTAAGCGATCATATACAGCAATTAAATTGCACTCATGAACTTTCCTGATGCTCAACACAGAGCTATCATCCACGAATGCCTAACTGTTAGGCTAGACATTCAAATAAGCAAATTTTAAAAATTCAGTCTAGAGGAGACTCTTTTCCCTCATTTTTGAGGGGAAAACTTGGAGCAGAGTTCTACAAGAACATCAGCTCAATACTGAGTAGCAATCAAAGAAGAAAAAAAAATAGAAATTGCTAATTAACAGAAAATAAAATGGATAATTATGCCACTTCATAAATGCGGGACTCAGTCACATCTTAAATACAGGCTGCAAAGAGTAATAAGGATGATCCAAGCCATGAAGAATAACCTTGTAGATTAAGGCTTTGTCACTCTGTACAGTAAATGATTTAGGGGAAAAAGAATACCAATATACAAAATCAAGAAGAGCGAGAATGGCTAAACAGTCTATTCCAGTATAAAGGCTGCAGGGCACCAAACAGGAGTCAGGTACAGAATGAAAACCAGGAATTTATTCTCTATGCCAGAGAGCAACCTTGTGTAGCTTGCTGCCAAAGAATGTTGCTGATACTAAGATGTGATTTCTAGGGGAATCTAGGAAGTACAAGGAAGAGGAATACTTGAGGGGTCCTAAACGCACAGAAGTGACGTGCAACTCATCAAGTCCCTGTAGCTAACCATAGCTGGAAACTAGAACAGTATTATTAGGTGACAGCAATTATACCTTCTCTGCTCTTACATACTTCCACAGGAAACCATTTACAACCAATGACAGAGACAGAACCGTTCAAGACTTGCACATCATTAGTTTTACATTGCCTTTTCTTCCTCACTGACTGACACCTTCAGTCCTAGTTGCTTCTCTTCTGGAGAAGCTTAAATCAGACAATAAGGGCTGCTGCAGGAAGTGAGCAGGCCTCTTTTGGAGACAAAAAGCCAACATGCAAAACAGTTCTGTTATGTATTCGCTGGTCTTAGATGGGAGGAGGAGCAGAACCACCAATCATGCTGCAAGGTCCTGTAAGATATGGTCATGAACACATGTAAGTGATCCAGGAGCAGCCATCAACTTTGTAGAATCTAGGAGAGCAAAAGAACTAGAGAAATAGGAAAATGGGGAGGCTTAGGATAGTGTAACTGATTCAGAATCTAAAGAGAAAAGATGGGTGATAAGCAGGTGTAGCAAGTGAAATTCCGTAGGTGACCAGGGATCCAATATGGTGTTATACCCAGCACACACATCTGATGGTCAGGGCAGCTCAAAAATTAACACACCAAATGCTGTAATTAATATTGGAAAATGCATACTAAACTTCTTAGGCATAATTAAAAGCTTGGCGTGTTAGCAGTACTGCAGTCACAGTAAAGAGTCTCTCGCAAAGCAACTGCATTTGAAGAGCCCGGGCCCGAGGCCTTCCAGGCGTGCCCCCGGCACCAGCAAAGACCTGCCCGGCTGGAGCAGTTTCCAGGGCAGCGGCCCAGCGAATTTCAACACAGCTACCGGGTTCTTCGCACTGCAAGCACCTTGTAGAACACGAGAAGTTAG